AATTTATAGAAATAGAAATAGAATAGATAATTCTCTTCTCTCTCATCTTGGATAAATATTGATGAAATAAAAAAAAATTCTAAATAGAAAATCTTTGTTAATCATTAAAATCAAATAATGAAAATTCTTATAAATAATTATTTTAATTAAAGATTGATCATTTTTAAAAAAAAAGTTTATATATATATATACAAAATCTATTGAAAAATCAATGATCGATTGTTTTTGAAATCGAATGAAAATAAATTTAATAAATTATAATAAAATATTTAAATATTGATTGAAATTATTTGAATATATAATATTATTATTTATTTATTGTTTTTAATAAAGAAATGATGATGTACCTGATTGTTACAATCGAGTTCGTTATATTCGAGATGCTTGTAAAGTATTATCTGATCTTTGGAAAACCGATAAAGATTTTGTAAGTTAATTAAAAATATTTATTTTGAAAAAAAAACAAATGAAATTTATTTTTAGTTAAATAAGAGTATTGATAATGATGTTGCACGTTCTTATCGTTTACCATATGGAACAAGTGGAGCTTCATCGGTTTTAAAAATCAAACAATTGATGATTTAGTTCAAATACATGATTTTATTGATTCAAAAAGGAAAGAATGGCTTGAACAATTAAAAAAAATTATTGAACAAGCCAGAGATAAACAAGTAATTATAGAACCTTGTCTTTTTTTTTATTTTTATTTTTATTTATAAAAGTCAACTATTCGTCAAACAATGACTGAATTTCGAGATAATTATGAAAAAGCTCAACAAAAATTAGAAGCAGCTGATGCCAATTGGAAAAAGTTCGTTTATTAATTTTATATATAAAAAAAAGAAGAAATTCTTTTGATTTTTCTAAAGATTTCAAACACGATCTGATCGTTTAACATTACCAAATTTTGATGAACGTTTACGTGAATTAGAAGATATTCGTTGTGAATGTGAACAAGCTCGAACATTATCACGTGATATATATGCAGCTGAAACATATAAAGTTGCTAGTGAAGAACATTCAATAACAATTAAACTTTTTTATCAATATTTATATGAAGAAAATACATTTTATAATCATGTATCGAAATATTTATCATCACGAATGCCTGAAATTGAACAAAGATTAGAAAATGATGAATTAATTCCATCATTTGGTTATGATCTTGCTAAACATTGTTTAAAACGAAATGATACACTTATTGCTTATCCTATTGAAATATGTATTAGACTTTTAGAAAATAGTTTAAATGAACAAGGTCTTTTTCGTATTGCACCATCACAAGGAAAACAAAAAAAATTAGTTGCTGAACTTAATTTACATGCTATTGATAGAGGAAGAACACTTTATGATCTTTTAAAAGAGAACTTCCTGATTGTTTACTTACAAATGCACTTTTATCACAATGGAATGATGTTATTTCAATCAGGTTTTTATCTTTTTTCTTTTAAGAGAAAAATGACAAGATACATTTTAATTTATATTGAGAAAAATAAAAGATATATTGATTTAGTTTTTTTTTTGAATATGATTGATATTAATCAATCTTTCCCAACAAAAATTTCGTTTAATTCATATATTATTTTTAAAAATAAGTAAAGAAACATTTGAAAATTGAAATAGTTAAGATTATATTGAAATCAATTTAAATCAGAGATGGGCAAGCTCCAGAGCACTTTTCGGTCGGAGCGCTAATGTATGTAACTGAA